TCCGCACGCCGGGGTCCCTCGCCGGCGGGCGCCTCGCAGGTCTGCTCCTCCCCGAGTGTCCTCTGCGCCCGGCTCTGGCGCTCCGCTCCACGCCTCTCCTTGTCGCCTGCTCTCTACCTCCCTCCCTCCCTCCCTGCTCGCGCGCTCACTCTCACTCGCCGCCCAGGGGCAAGCTTCCCTAGGGCCCGCCCTCCTGCCTTTCCCCTTTCCTTCCCCAGCTCGGGCGCTGGCTCACACCCCACCTGTCCCGCCTCCGCCTAGGCCCCGCCCCGGCACAGGTGGGCTCCGCCCCTAAGAACAGGACGAGCCCCTCTGGTCCCTTCGGGTAGCCAGAGGTGAGGAGGGACAACAGGTCACCGGTGCCACCGCCGACTTGGGTAGGGCGGGATGAAGAAGGGAGGGGACGAGTTGTGTTCTGGACTCCGACCGAGGGAAACCGAGTCATCACCCAGGCGCTTGCGGGTGTTCGTCTCAAGCAGAAACGTGGAGTAGAGGCCAGTTGGTGTTTAGGTGACTCCTATGATGGTGGCTTCAGAGCTTTTTGTTGCATTCAGCTTCCTTGCTTGGGGAACCGAGAGTAGGCATGATATTAGTTGAGAGGCAGAGAACATCTAATTCAGCCATAGCTCTGTCTTCCAGATCAGTTTGAAGTTCTTCCTTCCTGCCTCAGTCTCCTGTCTGGTAGGCACTGGGGGAGGCCTACAGCCCCAGGGGACTCCAACAAGTAGTTTTCTCCCATTCTGGGGTGGAATAGCACTTGGAAGAGAATAGATAGGTGTTGGAAAGTTCTGAAGAATTTATTTTTTTTTTTAAAAAAAAAAAAGCTCCCAGCACTCTGGAGGCTGAGGCAGGAGGATCGCTGGGATTTTGAGACCAACCTGAGCTACATATTGAGTTCCAGGTCAGTTTCAACTACATAGACCCTGTCTCAAAAAACAAAACAAAACAAACAAACAAACAAAAGGCCAGGGGTGGTGTACTCCATTGCAAAGTACCTGCTTAAACCACGCAAGAAGCTCTGGATTCAATCCCCAGCATGGAGGGGAGGAGAGAAAGACCATCACTTTTTGTATAATCTGCATTCCAATTCTCACCTTCAGGAAGTAGAGCGTTATTATCTCACTTAAATGAGATAATTGAAGTCCAAAGGGACTGTTGGAGGTCATTCTGTGGGTGGTAGTACAATTTTCTTTTCCATTCTTGCCTGGAGAAAAAGGTTAGAAGGCTTTGGAGAAGGTGGAAGATCAAAAATTTCCCTGGACATTTTCAAATCAAGTGTATACCTTGCAAATATTAGCAAGATAGAGCTCCACAAAATTAAATACTGCTTGCATTCTCTCTCTCTCCTCTCCATCTTGGCTTGAAGTTCAGATCCAATAGTCTCTCCTGGACTATTATAACTCTCTAACTCTTTTTCCGCCACCCTAACCTGCTGCCATCTCCTGTCTCCAGATGGCCTTGATAAAATCCTGATTTGTGTCCATATACCTGTTCAAAAATATTCAGTAGCTCCTCAGTGCTTACTGACTAAAATGTATGAGGTAGGACTGTATGAGGTAGGACAATCACAAGTTTGAGTTTTTTATTTAAAAAATAAAAGAGCAGGAATGTAGCTCCATGCAAAAACCCTAGGTTCAATCCCAGTATGAGAAACATAAATTGTTTAAATTAAATACAAATTATAAATCCAAATTCAAGCACTTCTTTAAAACATTCTCCATCTTTATATGACCTTATGAAATCTACTCCAACTAAAATGAGTTTTATTCTCTGCTCTCCAGCATGCTTTGCTATAGGCATTTTTAAAAATGGTATTGAGGATTGAACTCAAAGCCTCACCCAAGATAGGCAGCACTTTATCTCTGAGCTACTTTCCCACATTTTCTTTTCTAATTGATCAAGTTTAACGCTTTCTCCAAGTACATCTCAGAGTCTAGAAAACTTTCTTGAACCCAGGGTAGAGCTCCACGCCTGTAATTCCAGCTACTGAGACTGAGGCAAGAGAATCATAAGTTTTAGATTAGCCTGGACAACTTAGCTCCATCCAAAATAAAAAATAGAAAGGGATGCAGCTCAGTGTTAGAGAATGTTCCTGGCTTTCACAAGGTCCTGGTTTCAATCCCCAATACCACAAAAACAAAGAAAAAGAAAGCTTTCTTGGGGCAGCCCAGTCCTCAACAATGCCTTCGTCCTCGAAATGGAGTAGAACTTGTCATTTATCAGCCATATGGAGACTTAATTTTAAATATAATCTTGTTTTCTCAGTTTCACCAGAAGGCTTGTTATGGCTTATGTCTAGATGTCCCCCCAAAGCTTTATTAGCTCATGAGGTGGGGCTGAATCTAGAGCTTGTGATGCTGGGACTCAGGGTACGTGATTAGTAAAACATTTGAGTGATTGGTTGGGCACTGCCCTAATCACACTAGACTGGATGGGATAAAAGGAGCAGAAAGACGCTATTAAGGTCTCTTGTTGCTTCTGCTTCCTTCCTCCACTATGAACTGTTGCCCCTCTGTCATCGTATCTTGCAGCCAGCTGGTTATGGACTGAAACCTCTATTAACTTAAGCCAAATAAACCCCTTCCCCTCTAACTTTGGGTGTCAGGTATTTTGTCTCAGCAAAGAAAGAAAAGTAACTAACATAGACTTCAAAAGTGGGAACTTCAGGGCTGGGGATTTAGCTCAGTGGTTCTGGCTTCTGCCTTGCAAGCACAAGGACCAGAGTTGGATCCCTGGTACCAAAAAAAAAAGCCATATTCCTGGCTTTTAGTACCAATGTAGCACTCAGTAATGTTTGAAGAGGATAGCAGTTTGAGCAAACATCTCTCTGAACTTTCAAAAGAGTTATCCTGCAGAAGGTAGATCCAAAAGACAATTATTTAGTAGTAACGCTTGGAAAATCTGATATTCCAAAGCCACAGATTTGGAGGCCAGGCATGGTAGTGCACGCCTGTAATCCCAGCACTTGGGAGGCTGAGGCAAGAGGATCGAAGTGAGTTTGAGGCCAGCCTGGGCTACATAGCAAGTTCTAAACCAGCCTGAATTACATGGCAAGACCCTGTCTCAAAAAACAACAACAACAAAAAAAAAACCCAAAACAAAACAACAAAAAAAAACCAAAGGCACACATTTGGGAACTTTGCAAGTCTTCTTTTGGAAGTCCAACATAGGCGCCCAGAGTCTATCTCTTACTGGAAGCCATGCATCTGGGTGTTAGGCAGAGTCATTTGCAGCACTGTCGTGGAGATAGGTGGCAGCCCTACCATGACTCTCCAGGAGACTGGCCCTCCCCAGACAATTCTTGCAATCAGTTCATTGAACTAAATGCTCAAAGTAACTGGTGGAGATATAAAATGAAAAATGTGCTGTTTAGTTGAAGAGAAAAATATTTACAGAAAAAGAAATCAAACTCCCCCTCCCCATAATGGGAATTAAACACAGGGCATTCTGCCACTAAGCTCCATCCTCAGCCCCCTCCCTTAATTTTATTTGTTTGTTTGTTTGTTTGTTTGTTTTTGGTACAGGATATCAAACTCGGGCCCTTGCGCTTTCAAGGCAGGTGGCAGAACCATTGAGACAAATTCCCAGCCCCCTTAATTTTAATTTTTATTTTAAGGCAGAGTCAAGCTAAGCTGACCAAACTGGCCTCCTATTTTCAGTCCTCCTGCCTCAGCCTCTTCAGCAGGTGGGACCACAGGCGTGCACCATCATACACAGCAAAATCAGGTACTTTAAAGACCAAGTTTCTGGTTCAAACAGTGAATTGTGAAGAAATTCAGAGGGGGAAAGAGATCACCCTGCACCCCTCAGTTTTGTGCCCCTCTTCTAAATTCTATTCTATTTTGTTTGGGTTCTGGGGATGGAGCTCTGGGCATGCTATACCACTGAGCTCCATCTCCAGCCCCTGCGTACCCTGAATTCTGTGGCTCTCCTTCCCTCTTCTATTCTCTTTCCTGATGGGGGTGTATCCTTGGCACCGAGATACCCCTCCCAGTGAGACCCTGTTTGCTCCA